TTTTTCAATATTACTTCACTGGGATTTTGTTCTTATGGGTTGTAGATGCAAATGGCCATTGAGTCGACACATACTTGTTGAAAGTGCCACCATGACATTTGAGATAAAAAAAAACCCAACTGTTAAGAATGGTTTGCATGGCAGAAATACAATGAAGGTTGTGGACTTGTTCCCACATAAGGATTTGAGATGGGTGATGTGCTTGCTTCTCACGCTTTTGGCCATGGCCTGTCATGCGCTGGTCGTAAACAAACAGAATGAAGGATGAGGGATGAGGGGTCTTGTGTTCACAGCAGATGCCCAGTTAAGTAAAATTAGGTGGGGGCAGATCAATCATAAGTAGAGGGCCAGAGCCACCAGCTAAATGCATCACCAGGTATGTGTTACCACTCTTGTCTAGGATGGGTGCTAGCTTTGATAGTTGTTTAGATGTTGCTGATCTCCTGCTAGCGTGGATTTGACAAAGGTGAGGACGTCTACACATGAGGGGAAGAAATTAAGGATGAGGAAGAATAGGATATATTATTATGTCAAAAATGTAAAACAAATAGCACATTCAATTTAAAAATTCTTAAATAAATATAAACTGCACTTAGAAAACTCAAGTTTGCTCCCTCGAGTGAAACAAAGGGACATGTCAAATTCGACGTGTTCTACTGTGCCTCAAATTATATATTCTCAACCCCATAGTCCCATGCCATGCTGCAAGACCCTCCAAAAAGCATATATTATCTAGACGCTCATGGAATTATCGGGAGATCTTTGATCAAATTCCCATCCGGTACATGGCAGTTCATAACTCATGCAGCAAATGGAGAGCGCTTTCGAGCTCCTAGCAAAGATGGATCAGCTTAGAGCCTTTTTGCCCTTTTTCTCCTATAGATACGTGGAGCATAAAAGGCCAGGGTTTTTTTTCAAGGCTATGGCGAATCGATGGGGGATGGATGAGGCGACGATGAAGGAGAAGGAAAGGAGGAGGGAGGAGCGGAGGAAGCTGGAGAGGGCGCATAACTGGGAGGATGGCACCGATCCATGGGAGGACGAGCTCTTCTACAACGAGCGGATCAAGAATCTGTCCAAGAGAGTGACGAAAGAGCATATCGATGCGCTCAGTGCCAATGCCAACCCAGATCACATACGCATTCTTCAAGAGTGTTACAAGCAGCTGGAGGCTGAATTTGGCCCTAAAGCGAAGCGGAAGCCTCTTGGTGAAACCTGTAAGAATTCTGAGAATAATCCTTAGAAGAGAGCTGCGAAGGGCTTTTCTTTTTTATATTTCTCTCGTGTAGTATCTTGAACTTTGCTTGGCCAGCCAATTGTTGTTTACATTGACTTGCTCTTTTGGAAATTAAGACTGACGGAGTATACAATCTCCAGTATCAGACAACCTTAATCTAGCGATTAATTTAGCAATGAGAGTCATGAAAACACTTGCAATTTACTTCTTGCACTTGCTTTCTCCTTCAACTGCTGTGAAGGCGCAGGCGCTATGAAGCTGATGCAACTTGTGACAGCATCAATGGGATTGTGAGAAATTGCAATTTTCCGGGAAAAAGATCACACAAATCACTATGCAGCATGTTGTAGTTTCATTGGAAAGATCCCGAGTGTGTGTGTGTATGTGCCCAAGATTCACTTCAGATGGAGTTCAATTATAAACCTCATCGACAATGTGACACTTTCTTAAATGTTTCCTCGTTTTGATCTCACAGCTATTCTTCAAACATAAATTTGATGGATGACTACAGCATAGCTTTGGGTTTTTATTCTCACAGTAATTACCTTTTCCAAGGCGCAATTTCAGTTGAATTCTGGGTTCATAGAAACAGGATGGTCCTCTAGCCTCTTGAAACAGCCAAGATTAAGCCAAGGTTATTGCCAAGAGGCTAGTCCACTGAAACCAAAAAGAGCTAGGAAGAGCAAGAGCAAGGTGAAGCCTACAAAGTGAAGCCTACTTTTAGAGCTTGAAGACTACATGCTTGGAGCTTGAAGAGTATGAAGCATAAAGCGCAAAACAAAACTCACAAACCCTTGCATTTTGCATCCATCAGTCTCATGGTCTCAGCATCCATCAGCACCACAAAACATCATATAGATAGATATTCTGCCATGAATGCTGAAGGATTTCATGATTATGAAATGGTTGGAACTTAAATTTAAGATTGAAGAACATGGAGCGTGGTAATCCATAGCATAATCCATCCAGCATAGAGTAATTAGATTGATAATTAAAAGGACCCTTTTCTTTTAACCTAGGTTAGGGCTCATTGAGGCGGTGGGCTTTTTATATCCGCCACATGTAGCTTTTTCACGCACTAGCCCAGATCGTGCCACGTGTACGGCCTGGAGCGCTTTCGTACGAGGAGGTTCAAACGGGTCTTGGAAAGAGAAGAGAGAGAAGAGAGTAAGAGAGAGAGCGTGTTCTTGCGCGTTCTTGCAAGATCGATCGAAAGCACAGGGATTTCCTCGGCGCCAGGAGATTCCAGCGCCGGCCGCCTTCGCAGCGGCCACAGATCTTCTCCAGGCCGTGGAGTCTGTGGCGAGTCGCTGACAGGGACCCGGCGCATTTCGCATTGCGGAGAGCTCACGCCCCAGGGGAGAAGGAATAATCGCATCGGGGCAGCTGTTCGTCGCTAGGGTTTGAGGGTAGTAGAGTAGAGATGGGCGCTAGCGAGAGCAGGGAAGGGCGGCTGGACGATTCCGAGGCCGAGGAGGAGGAGGAGGAGAATTCCTCCTCGTCACAGGGGAGCTATCACAGCGCCCGCTCCGACAAGGAGAAAACCGGGCCAAGGACTCCATCGCGGCCTCCACAGCCGGGCTCCCAAAAGGTAAAGCTCTACCACTACATCTCGGCCAAGACCAAGTGGGTCGTCGCGGAGAAGCTGGTGCCATGGGAGTTTATGCGCGAGAGCGAGCTCCAAGAAGGCAGCGAGGTCGACGATGACGAGTACATGGACGAGGCCGAAGGGAGTGGCCACTTTGATCACTGGCTGCTGTGCGTGGGGACGAGGATCCGAGCTAAGGTCGACCAGAGGCTCCAGATGAAGTTCTACTCGGACCAGCAGCGAGTCGACTTCGTCTTCCAAGGTGTGTGGGCGATGCGCTTCCCATCCCAGGAGGACTACAAGGACTTCACCACCGAGTACCACAACTGCGTCTTCGAGAACAGCTACCAGCTCGAGGCGACCGAGGAGAACAAGGTGAAGGTGTTTGGGAAGGACTTCATCGGCTGGGTGAAGCCACAGGACGCTGATGAGTCCATCTGGGAGGACGCGGAAGAGACTCTAGAGCAGGGACAGGTTAAAGATCTCAAGCAGACTTACATCGACGAGCTCAACGAAGGGATTCGCAGCCTCGCGCTGGGTGCCAAAGACAACAGCTTCCTGGTGAGCGACAGCCGGGTCGAGGCGTTTCGAAACACACCCACGGGGCTGCAAGGCAAGAAGGCGTCCGTCCGCCTGGGCGGCTCGAGCTCCGACTCGTTCAGCACACCCAAGAAGGCGATGCTCATCCGGGGGGAGGCAAACATGATGCTGCTCAGCCCGGCGAAAGATGGCAAGAACCACTCCACGAACGTCCGGCAGCTGGATCTCGAGTCGGGCAAGACGGTGGCCGAGTGGAAGTTTGAGAAGGATGGCACTCCCATCACCATGCGGGACGTGACCAACGACAGCAAGTCGGCTCAGCTCGACTCGTCGCTCTCGACCTTCCTCGGCCTCGACGACAACAGGCTCTGTCGGTGGGACATGAGAGACCGACACGGAATCGTCCAGGACATCGCGAGCCCGGTGTTGAATTGGAACGAGGGTCATCAGTTTGCGAGGGGCACGAACTTCCAGTGCTTTGCTTCCACCGGAGATGGAGCCGTGGTGGTGGGATCCAAGGATGGAAAGATCCGGCTCTACGGGAAGACGTCGATGCGGCAGGCTAAAACAGCGTTCCCGGGGCTGGGCTCGCCGATCACTCATGTGGATGTGACTTACGATGGACACTGGGTGCTGGGAACCACGGACACGTATCTCATCCTCATGAGCACGCTGTTCATCGACAAGGATGGATCCATGAAGACGGGCTTCACGGGGCGGATGGGCAGCAAGGGGCACAAGCTGGCGACGCCGCGGCTGCTCAAGCTCACGCCGGTGGACGCGTTTGCCGCTGGGAAGAACCAGAAGTTCCACGGTGGTCACTTCTCCTGGGTAAGTTGTTCGTTCGTCTTTCTTTCCTCTTGAGTTGCTTGGATTCGCTCATCGCTTTGGTTTGCTGCTGTCTCAGGTGACGGAGGGTGGAAGGGAGGAGAGGCATCTGGTGGTGAGCGTGGGGAACTACACCGTGATCTGGGATTTCAAGCGCGTGAAGCAGAGCCAGCACAATTGCTACAAGAACGCGGGGGAGGGGCTCAAGAGCTGCTACTGCTACAAGATTGTGCCAAAGGAGGACAACATCGTGGACAGTATGTTCATGCACGACAACTTCGTCACTGGGAAATCGCCGGAAGCGCCGCTCATCGTCGCCACGCCAAAGCACGTCACCTCCTTCAACATCTAGAACAGGAAAAACACAAGAATCCATTCACGGTAAAACTGGAGACTTTTGACATGGGAGTAGTACGCACTCGCGCGCTAATTTCTTGCTCTTTTCTTTGCTGTTTGTAACCAACTAAAGAAAAATTTAATTGTTTTTTTAAGTAGTGACAACAGTTATTTAAAATGAAAACTACAGATTTTAAATTAAATAACGTTATTAGTGATCTAAGCATATTATTAAATGCGGTGAGCGTGGGTCGAACACGCGACCTTCAGATCTTCAGTCTGACGCTCTCCCAACTGAGCTATCCCCGCTTAGTTTGATTAACATAAAACTAGTTTCATATTTATATTCTAGCTATTATTTACGATCTTTTAAAATCATAGCAAATGCTTTCAATGTTTACTGTATTGTACCCATGCGAATCGCATTACATTTCTTTCTATTCCATGCGTTACATGGTTACACGTGTCAGGTTGTTTGAGTTTCTCAAAGAAAACCTAGGGCGGAGGAGGAAGAGCTTGGTCGCTTTTGCCAGTGAGAGGGCGCCACCACATTTTCTCCTCCATCTCACTCTCTCTCGTCTCCAGCAACGCGGATAACGATGGATCAGCTCCGCGAGATGGCGCACAACATGAGCTCCCTGGCCGCCCAGGGGATGGATTACATCGAATCCCACACGGGCCTCCCGCCCATCGTGCTCTTCACCATCATCGCGCTGCTTCTTGGTGCGTATTACCTCGTCTCTGGGATTCTTGCTCCATCGCAAATCGGCGCCGCTCCCCTCTCGGCCATCATCGAGGAGGAGGAGGAGGAGGCGGCCGCGGCGGCAGCAGCAGCGGTGGATCCTCCCTCGATCGTGGAGCTCGGGGATCAGGTCACTCTCTTGGAGCTCGCGGCGTACGATGGGAAGGATTCGAGCAAGCCGCTGCTCATGGCGATCAAGGGAAGGATTTACAACGTTTCTTCTGCCAGGTACTGTCACAGCTCTCTTTTCTTCTTCGTGCTTAGATTGATGGATCAGCTTTTCCTTTCTTGATCGATCAGAGCTGCATTTTTCTTCTTTCCTTTTCGTGCTTGGTGATACTATTGCTTATCTTTGCAGGGATTTCTACGGGCCTGGTGGGCCTTATGCCGTTTTCGCTGGAAGAGATGCCAGCCGCGCTTTGGCGAAGATGAGTTTTGACGAGGGTGATCTCTGCGGTGATCTGGATGGATTGAGCAGCCAGCAGCTCGAAGTTCTCAAGGATTGGGAGAGCAAATTCGCCAGCAAGTATCCCAGAGTCGGAGCCGTCAAGCCCAAAAAGGAGGACAAGGTGGTGGACGATTCAAGCGTCGGTATGGAGATGGAGGGGGACGAGAAGAAGTACAAGGGCAGTGATGAGACAAAGACAAGCCTCGGGGAGAAAGACGATCAGAAAGTTTCCGAGGAACACAAGGATAAGAAAGATTTCGAGGAACGCAAGGGTGGTGGTGACGAGAAGAAGGGACAGGAAGCTCTTCCCGGAGCGGAGACGAGCGATGAGAAAGACGAAAGGGATCGAGAGGACAAATCGGCGAAGAAGGCTGGACAAGAACACGACTCAGAGGACGAGACTACAGTAACAACAGATGCGGGGGTCAGGGATCGATACGATGAGAAAGAGGAGAGCTTTAACTCGTCTTCAGCAGCTTAAGCGATGGATGGATGGATCGATCAGAAGAAGGTTTGGAGCTAAATAATCGTTGGTTCGTGGTAGACGTAGATGTTGTCTAGAATTTGCGTTGTTTTGTGGAGCAGTTTTGGATTTCCTGTTCATGTGATCGTTTAGATGTGAAGAAATGGAAAAAGTCGCGCTTACTATGATTTGGATCGTGCAAATCTGACTCTTATCAGCTGAAACTACAAGAAAAGAAGGAAAAACGTTCCTGATGAAATAGAAGCGAGCAAAGAAACTGTACTTGGAGCTATTGGATGCAACATATGTGCTTGGATCCAATAAGAGGTTTGGGAGGAATCCACGCATCAGCTGGGAGCGATTCTCCTTCCCATGGATCTTCCAAAACCTCAGCAACATATCTGTGAAAGCACCCTGATCAATCGAGAAATGGAAAAGAATCAGCGCTTACAACTTCACTGGTTCCACTGGCACGTTGTTCTTCTTCACTTTGACCAGCTGCATCTTGTCCAAAACCACGAGCGAGTTCTCCCTCACTTTCCCAAACACCGTGTGCTTTCCATCCAGATGCGGGCTCTGTGCTTCAATGCTGCAAAGGATTTAGACGATCCAAAGAGAATAGAAAGAAAAAAATCGACACTCACGGGCTTGAAGAGAATGAAAAACTGGGAAGCATTTGTGTTGCGACCAAAATTTGCCATGGAGACTATCCCTGTCGCGTCGTGGTTGTGCCTGGCGGAAATCTCATCGTCAAATCGAGCCCCATAGATCGAGTAGCCTCCTCTCCCAGTGCCTGCCAGGAGATTATAGTTAGAATTTCTCCTAGCAAGAATTTCACGATCTTGCCTGAGGGATCGCCGGTCTGGCACATAAACCGTGGAACGATCTTCTGCGGAAGAGGAAGAACACTCAGAGACTAGAGCTGAGGATGAAAGAACGAGCGAGATTACGTGAAATGTGATCCCATCGTAGTATCCCGCCTTGCAAAGCTCCAAAAAATTCCGGCAAGTCCTGCGCGAGGCACCGCGATCATCAAAACCCTGCGCGCGATCGATGCTGCCCTACCTTGGCGCATCCTCCAGGAAGAGATCGATCTCCAAGCGGCCGTGCGTGCAGCACAACACCACCGACATTGCCCTAGATAATATTCTCGTGCGAAAGCCGTTACACGTATATTCCTCATAAACGACCAGGATCGAAAGCCTGTAATCGACGGCTCACATCAAACCTTCAAGAATATTCGATATGCTTAAACAAAAATTTTCTCTTCTAGCGCCCCCTCCGGCTGGCATTGATCTCGTTCAAGCTGTTATAGTCATCCACGAAAGTTTCCCAGGCGGGCTTTCGGCGGGTTTCTTCCTGGATATCGTTCTCGATGGCTTTTCGGATCGGTCGCACCACCAAGAAATACTGCCAATCGATCGAAAGGAAAAAACTTTCAGGGTGACTTTGGAGAAGCGAAAGCATTACACATTACCTGTGCGAGCAGCACCAGCGGGATCCAAAGCTTCCCCCTGTTATTCGCGTTGGGACCCTCGATGAGCTTCTTGTCCACCAGCAGTGATGGGTGCTCGTTGGTCACCACTTGCACGAGCCGTCCCACCAGGTTTGGAACCCACACGGTTCCATTTGGAAGAATCTGCAAAGAGTTTATCAAAAAGAGTGACTTTGAGAAAGAAAAATGGTTACCTTTTCACCACCAGCATTAGTGCTGCAACGCCCACTATTTTCCACGAGAGCGTAAGGTATCTGAAAGAGAACAAATCAGCTAAACCATAGAAGAACAAGGATGAAAAGGTCCAGCGTTACATACGTCGGGATCGGTTTTCTTGAAGCCAGCTTCATGCCTTATAGCCGCTAAGAGCCCCTCGGATCTCTGCTGCACGTAGTCGTCATAGCTAGCACCGTCCGGAGGAGGAAGCTGTGCGTGAGTTAACACCAGCAAACAAAGCTTCCAGATTTGAGGACCGAAGCTACGAGTGATGGCCCTGATGACTTGTTTGTCGAGGCTATCAACTCGGTAACCATCGAGCCGGTCCACATACAAAACCACATCAATAGTTTTGTCCATGAGAAACCTGGGAAAGAAGAAAGTGTCACCTCCAAAAACGAAGGAGAGAACAATCTTACAAACCTCTTGATAATCTCTAGTGCTTGGTCATTCACCCATCCACCTTCGATCAAACCGGGAGTGTCGATAATGTTCAAAGTAAATCCAGCTCTGGACCGTGAAACGAAGAGCGGCCTCAAAGTCTCCGACTGGAGAAAGAAAAAGTCGATTTTGAGAATGCGCGAAATGAAAGAGTAGAATTTACCTGAAAGGCGCTCACGGCTGCTACTCTCTCACCAATTATAGAATTCACCGTAGAGCTTTTTCCAACTCCACCTTTTCCAAGCACTAGAACAGTCATGCTATCCACATTCTGCGAGGAGGAAGCGAAATTCTCAAGCACCCGCAAGAAAGAAATTCCTGGAAGAACTAACCTGTTGCCGGACCTTGCCAAGCAGCCCGTGGAGCGCAGTCTGCGTAGCAACGGGGAATTGGTTAATGCCCGACCATTCCTTGGTGCTTCCCATCCCTGGAGTGGCGGCGCGCGCTCAATCGATTACTCCAGCTGCGAATGTGGCGCCGCGCGCTTGAATCTAGACCAAGAATCACGTACCCGAAAGAGAGGAGCCCTCGCGGTCGCGGATAAGGGCAATGTGCTGCCCAGTGGTTTAGGGCTTTTGAGAGATATTTGCTAGGAAAAGATTCGAACCCAAGACCACTTTACACTTTAACAAGCGAACACAAAGTCACAACGCTATATATATATCAATCAAAGGGGATTGTCACATCTCTATGTGAGATCATCATCTTCGTCAATCTTGGCCTTCATAGCATTCTTCGCTCGCAGCAGCATTGTGGTCTTCCAGCCATCCTTGAAAATACAAAAAAATGATCGAGTGAGGACGAAGAAACAACGTCGACAGAGAGAAAAGATCACAAACATACCAGTCGAGTCATGCTATCAAATTCCTTGACAACGTCTGTAAACTTCTCGACATCCTCTTGCTCGATCGCCTCGGCTAGATCCTGCGATCCATCGGGAATTGTAAAAGGAGAGGGAGGGAGAAAAAAAACACGTTTCTCACCTTAAGAAACTTGTGCTCTCGCGTGTTCGAAAATGTTGGATCCAAGTCCTGCAAAGTTTCATGATTTAGACAGAACTCCTGGAGCAAAAACTTTGGTACCTCGTATCTCTCGATGGCATTTTGGATGGCTATATGATCAGCACTACAGAGATGGCACAAACCAGCGCTCAGCAAATACCCCTTGACGCTGTACTTCAAGAGATTGTTTCCCATCGAGTCTTTGGCCACTGTCTCGTACACCTCAATAGCTTTTGGATATCTGCAAAAAGAAAAAAGAGAGATAAGAGGAAAACAAGCGAAAAAAGAGACATTTCTAGCTTACAGCTCGAGTTGGGATGCAAATTGAGCAACCTTTAGTTTACATTGGTTCGCGGAGCTCGTCACTTCTTCTCCTTGATAAAAGTCGGCAGCTTTTTCATAGCTTTCCATAGCTTCCTGCCACTTTTCTTCCTTTTCGTACAATTCTCCCACATCCTAAAAAAGTTGGAAAAAAAAAAAGTAAAAAAACGCGTTAAGCTGACCAAGAACATTACAAAGGAATTGATAGAAGGTACCTTGAAATGCTTCGCAGCGATCGATAGCTTTCCCATCTCCAAGAAAATATTAGTCGCGGTATTGAGCGCATTGATCGCATCTAAAGGAAAGGAAAACAAAGAAACGAAGCAGTGTGATGCGGAGAAGAATGCGCTATTTTACCTTGTGGCTTGTTTTTCATGTAGCACTTGGCCGCATCAACGTAGCTCGTGGCGGCCTCGTATCGACTATCGAGCTTGACGTGCATCTCGGCGACCCTGACGAAGCAATTGGCGGCCTTGTCCCCTGGAAAAACCCTGGATTGAGAAAGATGCGCGGAGATCTGGCTCCCAAAACTTACATGATTTGGCGACCTTGTAGTGATTCGCAGCTTGCTGCAAGAGCTCCACTGTATCCTCATACTTGTTCCCAAAGAGCCCCCAGCCCTTGAGCTTGCGATCCGCCTTGCTCTCGAATTCCTTCGCCTTGGCCAGGGCATCCATGGCGAACCAAGAGCCCTAAGCGCATCTAGGGTACAAAGGTAGAGAATATTCTCAAAAGTTTTAAGCTAATAAATACAACTAGCAGGGAACCCAGCTCCGCTGGGATAGTTAGATGCTAATTTTAAAAAGAGAACAATTTAATAAAACTTGCTTAAGTTCAATATGTAACAAGCACTTGGTTTATTTAGTTTTTACTTAGTGATTGCAACCAAACACTATTTCTTAAATGGTTTACTGGAATAGAATAATACAAGCTTGGACTCAAAGCTTAAAAGAATTATTCAACACAGCTTAATCATATTCCTCAATTTGGTATATTATTTGGGCATTCCAGAGGTAAGAGCAGTTAATGGGATGGCATGGTAAAGGGATTTTTGGTATAGACTGGCTCGTTGTCTTTATATACAGTCATTCTATATAGACGACCTAGTCATTATAGAATTAATTAGTCAGCAAGGATCCCAGCTCCGCTGGGAGTAGTAGAGAATATTTCAATTTGAAAAAATGTAGTTGTAATTATAATTGTTCAATCTATTTTTTTTTTAAATTTCTTTGGCATGTTTATTTTTATTTTATCTTAATTTTATTACTATAAATCTCCAAATAAATGGACAATAATGCAATTAGATAATAATGCAAGTGTTAGGGAAGATAAGATCATTTTTTAATCATCATTAAATTTGAATTTATATTCTTTTATTGCCTATATAAAAAGGTACACAAACCTAAACACATCTACAAAATTGCTGCCATACTTGAAAAGCAATTGACTTTTCACAAAACCAAAGAATTATATATACTATAAAAAAATAATAGGTTAGTTTTTTGGAAATTATAATTTTGATTGCATATTGAGGTAAACTGTTTTTATCTGATGCCTCTAACCTTCATAGTTTACTAAAGAATATTAGATTTTTATTATCTGTCTGGTTTTACATTTCAAAATATACATAAGTAAATCTATCTAGATATCCAACTATATTAGAGTTGTTTGAAAAGAGGTACAAACAAAAACATTTACTATATTGGATTATAATGTTTGTATTAAGACAAAACAGTACTATTATAAAAATATGGATTCCAATTTAAAAATAAATTACTATTAAATGATTTAACACAAGTTAATATTCAGCAATTATATAAAGGTGAACATGATTACAGATTAACCTAGATTATAACAGTATTAATGTTTTAAATGTAAATATGGATCTAAGACAATATTATGTAAATATTAATATTATACTATTTTTTAAATGATACATTATTTAATTTTAAATAAGAATTAATATAAATATTTATTTATTTATTATTTATTTAAGAAATCCTTTGTATTATTAAGCTTATCATTTGTGAGTAAAGTGTTACTATTGCATTTTGCTCTCAATACTTCTTCATTTTATACTATAGAAATTACATTGTTGATACTTATATTTCAGAGAATATAAAAATTAATACTATCTAATTAGATATCGTATTAATATATAAAGAAAAATATATTAATATTTATTAAATGTTTCAAGTAATATAAATATAGTATGTTTTTACAACACAAATATAGCAAATATTATTAAAACATTTATCAAAGAAATATTTACAACTATGATTTATATTAATTTTAAGATGAATATTGTAGAAAACTCTTCTCTTGTAGACTCAATATGATTTATAAAGTTAATTTTACAAATAAAAATCCTCCAAAACAAATGATGATTTTTAAATTTATTCAAGTATGTACATATTTTTTATATTTATATAGTCAACAATTTCTCCAAATTTAAAATTTAAAATAGTTAATTATATAATTGGTAATTTATATTTAAAAATAATAGAACTGTTTTATTTTCATTCTTGCAACTTTATCTGGTTTTTAACTTAAAAAGTTTATACACTAATTTATTTATTTTATAATATTCAAATTTACTTCTCAATACTTTTTTTTATATCTTTGTCATCTTGTAAAACCCATCTATAACACTTAAATTTTATTGCCAATATCTACATCCTTTGGAGTTAAGAAATAATAATTATAAATAATATACCTTGTCCAAGAGTTTTGAGTGCACACCTGTAGGAATATCATTTGATTTGTTTTATGAAAGGAAATTTTAAACATATATTTCAAGAAGGTGGGAATAAGTTTGATATTGTAAATAGACTTATACTTATGTATATTTTTAAATGTAAAACCAGACATATTATAGAAATTTTATTATTCTTTAGTAAACTATGAAAGTTACAGGTGTCATTACAGTTCAATTAAAAACAATTTAGCTCAATATGCAATAAAAAATATAATTTGCCATAACTAACCTATTATTCTTTTTTTAGTATATATATATTTCTTTGGTTTTGTAAAATCTAAATTGCTTTTCAAATATGGCAACAATCTTTTAGATGTGTTTAGATTTGTGTACCTTTTTATAAGGACAATAAAAATTTCAAATGAAAATTTAATGATTATTAAAAAATGATCTTATGTTCCTCAACACTTGCATTATATCTAATTGCATTTTTTTCCATTTCTTTGGACATGAATAATAGTAAAATTAAGATAAATTTAACATTGTATACAATCAAAATATCTAACATTTTAGAATTACAAAAGAAGATCTATTTATCTTCGATATACTATATCTCCCAACGGATATATCAGCATACTCTTTGATCCATAGAATAAAACCTTTATAGAACAAAGAGTATTGTATGGATTCAATAGTATATTAGTAAAATTAAACATACTTTTTTTGTAGAAAGATCATATATAGCAGACACAATAGAAAAAATACTATAAAGTTTAAATGTAAATAATGTGGTGAATATAGAAAATGAATTTTTTCATAACTTAAAATATAAGAATTGAATGGATCCAGCTATTTTATCTTATAAATTAGCTTTAGTTTTGTCCATAATCTTATGATATTTATTATACACTCATAAATGAATATAATCACATTGAGTTGTTTGTTAGCTCAGATATAGTCTAAGATTTGTGTAATATCATAAAGTGATAATAATGTTTTTAAGACTAATAATTGATGAAGTGATAAATAAATATTTGATAAATAAATATAATGACATACAGATAAAAATATGATTGAGCAACATTAGACATCATACAAAAGGCTACAACCTACAAAAATGTCATTCCAGAAAAAAATGATTACACATCCTCAATACCCTAATATCAGAGTAAAACCTTACCTTTCACTGAAAAATATTAGCCTCAATAACATTTTTATAATGCCATACATTTAAATAAAAATCAATGAAACGTTGAGATAATAATTTTAATTTATATTAGCATTTTCTCTATATAAAAAGATATACAGAAACAATGTTAATGATTTGTAATATAATACTTTAACTTTAATAAGTACTAATCTACATAACAGTATTTATATTTTATAAAGTTATAAAATGTATGTAGTTTAAGTGAGTTTTAAATCTATATTTTTTAGCATTATTATATTTTAATATACTTAAAGTAACACTTTAATATAAAAAATGTAAAATATAAAAAATATCTTATAAAATATTAATATTTGTTTAAAAATTTAGATGTAGCACCTAAATAATAATATTTTTATATTTTGTCTATGGTTCTATATTTAATATAGTATAATAACATTATCAAACCAGGAGCAATGAAAATTAGTGACTAAAGTCTCAACTATGCTAGGAACATCGTGTTTATTCCTGATGTTTTAGTAATTTCTAAGAGTTCTAATCATAATTGTAATTTTTAACATAATCATAATGATAACATATATAGTGAAACATATATAATCTTTATATTAAAATCCCTTCTACAATTGACTCTATCACTAACACAAAACACGATATTCAAATCATGCTCAAGGCTCGGCAGGGCGTGAAATACATTTGCCTTGACAGCTTACAGGTGCTCAACTCCGAAACTCTGGAACCAGTTGCCGAGGACAGTGTCACCTTTGGTGAAGTTTGCATGTGTGGGAACATGGTGTTCAAGGGGTACTTGAACAATCGTAGAAGAGTTTTCAAGCATGTGATACATTTTTCTTGATATATGCAACACTTCATATTCAAGTATTATGCTAACATCGCCTACACTTCATATGCCATATGGAATTTTATATTAAAATTGATATGGTTAGTAATGCATCATACATAATGAATCATAATCATTTTATGTGTACCTTGTATAATTAGTGTGAATCACTAACACCATACAATCGAAAATACAATAGAAGACTACAATAGAAGACTTCACTCAACAATCAGAATTTTAAATGTGATATAATGTTATGAGTTTAATTTATTATGTTATGATGTGTGTTGGTGATAGAGTGAATTGTAGAAGGGATTTTTAATATAAATATTATATTATGTTTAACTATGTATGTTATCATTATGATTATGTTAAAAATTACAATTGCTATTACAACTCTTTGAAGTTACTAAAATATTAGGAATAAACACGATGCTCCCAGCATAGCTGGGACTTTAATCACTAATTTTCTTGGTATTGATTGGTATGTACTTATACAATTAGAATTCTAGATTAGTGGATTCACAGTGATGTGGATGTATATAATCCAGGATATATACATTATCCTGGATCTAACATCTAAGTAGCCGAATTATATAATTGGTTATATAATTTTATATGATCAATATAATCAATATAATTCATTTATGCAATATATAGAAATATTCAAGCATGAGATTTCATAGGTGGTTATGTTAAAAGTTTTGAATGTGAAAGTGTGGGAAAGCTTACTCGATTGTAAAAAGTTCAGCCTTTTCTATATCATTGATTTTAAATACATATTCTGTAATTACATTAACCTCGAAGGATATGCCACTCTCAACTATTTTGAGTTGACAACTATCGGAAATTCGTATCGATAAGTATTTTTGGTTTTTTTCTGTTTTGTTTTCAAGCAAACATAGCAATAGCACAATAGAATAGAGATTCTTGTATGTGCAGGTCACTCTTCTGAACTGTTTTCTGCCTGCACGTTTCCTTTTGAATGTTTTAAGCATTTTTAGGATCGTGATCTGGAACGACATATAGACTTTTTTTTTTTTACCTAATACCTTTACGAGAGAGAGCAAAACACTAAATAAAATCAAACACGGAAATCTTTTCTATGCCCTGAGTTAATGTACAAATATCATGTACCGAATCAAACCAAGCTCATGGCTTCAAAGTTGTGTCTATAAACACATACATACACAACAGTTTATTTAATGCTATCTTATTCCTTCAGAAATGGCTTTTTTAAAAACAGTTCATGGCTTTGTCTGTAAGAAAGTGGAGTAGGCTGCCATGTAGAGCTCCAATCCTTGTTCTCCACCACCTCAGCTGCCATGTACTTTGCTGTTGTGATATCTCCTAAAGGTGCTGATCACCACTTTGTCGCACATGTTTAGCTTGG